TGCCCCAGGTGGCGGTAGAGCGCTGGTACGATCGTCTGGGTCCCCGGCGGTGGTGGTTGTTCGGGTTGTCTCGTCCCCTGGGCTGGTAGTGGCGTCTGGGTCGCCAGTGCCGGGTTGGGAATGGGGACCGTCTGGCAGCCTGATTGGCTCGCGGCATGCTTGGCAATCAGTAATAAAAAAAACAGGATGTCAGTAATGTCCATTACAAAAAAAAAATGTCTTCTAGGTAAACGCAGCAACAGGTGAGCTAAGCTCGCGAGAACAGTCAAATGTATACCACTCAAAATCGCGCGCAATCAATCAAAATAGGCGGTAAAATGCTGGTTCTCGGCTAAACCCATTGTAATCTTCTTTCTATAATCTTCGTCTTCGTCACCGACGTTGAAGTCTTCGAGGGTGTAGGCGGTAAACTAAGTACCAGCCACATCAGCAACACTTCCCACCTGCGAGAGAAGTTCATCCGCCGAATCATAATACTGCTTGAGGTCGGTGACATGAACAGGTCCCGTGAGTCGACCAGACTCACAGTCGACGAGCGTGTACGTGAGGCGTGAAGCTTTCTCACGTACTCTATATGGACCGTCCCACCTATCAGCCAAGGATGCCGTGAAACCTCTGGCGGCGTTACTAAGTGGGTGTGTCCGGCGCAACACCAAGTCTCCAACGTGGAATTGCACGTCCCGGTGACCTCGATTGTACTGCTCAGCCTGCTGCAGTCGTGCGACGTCCAAGCTCTCCCGGGCATCACGAACGATGTCCCTGAGTCTCTGTCGTAGATTCCCTTCAAACTGGCCATAGGAGCAAGAAGCACCCGGATCGTCGACAGAATAACTATTTTCGAGCGGGAAAGTCAGCTCTTTGCCAAAATTAAGGCGCGCGGGTGTGAAACCGGTAGATCGGTTAACCGTGGTTCGGGTTACGAACGCGAGTTCTGGAAGTTTCGCATCCCAATCACGGTGGCGCTCGGTGTGAGCGATCAACATCGACTTCAAATTTCGGTTTATCCGTTCGGTAACATTTGCCTGCGGGTGGTAGGGGGATGTCCGTTTGTGCTGTATTCCCCCGGGCAGCACAGGTGTCTGTGAACACTTTGCTAGTAAATTACGTAGCATTGTTGCTGATTAATCTGGTAGGGAACCCGAATCTCGTAAATGTCTCCATCATGCAAGACCAGATATTTTGAGACGTCAGCGAACGCAACGGCAATAACTCAACCCACTTGCTAAAGTGGTCCGTGGCGACCAACAAGTACTGGTTGCGACGAGGGCTGCGTGGGAAAGGGCCCATCACACCGACAGCAACGCATTCCCATGGGGATCGACTCACAACGGGCTGCATCAGACCAGAGGGTTGACCTCCACGCGTCTTGGCTTTCTGACGAACCAGGCATGACCGAGCATACCTCAACACGTCCTGACGAATGCCTGGCCAAGTAGCAGTGCGGCTTAACTTCTGAAAAGTCTTACAGCCACTACTGTGAAAAAAAAAATAAAAGACGTGCGAAGTCGGCGAGGTATCACGGCTCGGAATAAGGTATCTGTGGGGTCACCCTCCTCGTCGTCGATCTGAGGTATATACCGTAGTAGGAGACCATCTTCGGCTAGCAAATACGAGTCGAAACCCATATCAGCGTCTCTGTTGCCACGCCGGTCACCTGAAGACAACCACTCAGACACCCTGCGACAAAGCCCATCGTTCTGCTGTGCTGCACGAAGCTCATTTCGGCTAATCAAAGTACCCCAGCGCAAGCCAGCATCTATCGCAGCCACAACATTGGCATTCTCGTGCACGTGCTCTTCGCCGAGCGGGCGCGCGACAAAGCGTCTGCGACTTTGTTTTGTGAGCCTGGTTTGTGCACAATGGTATAGTTAGTGCCACTAAATAAGCATTCAGTGGCTCTAGGTATAGTCATATTTCTGAAGCGTAAGTGTCCAGCGTGCTAATCGTCCTGCCGGATTTTCCAGCCGCTGAAGCCAAGACAAGGCGGCATTAAGGCCGGTTCACACATACAGCGGAGCGCTAAGTTGGCGCTACGTGAGCGCTCCAAGGAGCGCGCATGTGGCGCTTCCTGGCGCGTGATGTAGCGCTCTGTTAGCGCTTCACAAGCGATTTGTTAGCGCACTGTTAGCGCTACAGAAGCGCTCTGTTAGCGCTCTTGCGCCCCTTGTGCCATGATTGCTGCTGCGGAATAGCGCGTGCACGGCGATTCCTTGGTTGTTGTTTTTCCTTTGGCATGAAAAGAAGAGGAAGTAAAAGAGCCGCTCTCTAAGCAGAGGGTCGGGCAGGCGATCCAGAGTCATGGACTCTGAGCGACTTATTGATTGGGTACGACCTCATAGCTTTCAATTCGATATGTGTGACGCTGGTTTCAAGGACACGCAGGTAAACATGATCGCCTTCGAAAGAGCTCTCTGTCTCGGTCCCTCAGCCTAGGAACAAGGTTCGCAGGGGACCCGTCGGTATCTCGGTGGCGAATGATGTCGCGCACCCAGAAGGCTCTTCTGGGAGTTAAGCCGTCCACACCAGATATGTACTAATCGCGTATGTAAGAGCATTTGTCGCATTTCTATTTCAGCATCCCATGGTGCTGCTGGAGCGCTAACAAGGCGCTACTGGAGCGCTAACAAGGCGCTACTAAAGCGCTAACCACGCGCTATATTAGAACGAAGTCACGTGCTGCAGCGCCGCATGAGCGCTCCTTGGAGCGCTCACGTAGCGCTAACTTAGCGCTCCGCTGTATGTGTGAACAGGCCTTTATTCGACTGAATCACAAAGCGCGCGCCATCAAGATACATGTTGAATTTCTGCAGGGCGAATATGATGGCTAGGCACTCAAGCTCGCAAACATTGTCATTTCGTTGAGCTGGTGTCAACGTATGGCTAGCAGACGCTACGGGTCGTAAGACACCATCAAAGTCTTGAAGCAGCACAGCACCTAAACCGTAGCCGCTCGCATCGGTTTGCCGTACAAACGGACGGTTGAGGTCTGGGAGCTTCAAAGATGCTGTCTCAGCAATAGCTCTGGACAGTTGAAGGAAAGCATTTTGCTGTGCCTCTGTCCAACGCCACTTGACGCCTTTGCGCAGCAGTCGTTCAGAGGCCGCGTTATCTCTGCACAGTGGGGAATAAACTGGCGGTAAAATCCAACCATGCCAAGAAATCTCTGCAAACTCTTTGCCTCATCTGGGGGAGGAAACTCAGTTATGGCCCTCAGCTTGTCCTCATTAGGGCGAAGCGATCCATCGTCGATTACAAAACCGAGCAGGTTAATCTCAGATGTCGCCAGTTGCATTTTTCCCGGGTGAACTGTCAAACCAGCATTCTGCATGCGCTCGAGTATAGTCCGAAGGTGGAAAAGATGTTCTTCGAACGAGCGTGAGAAGACTACTACGTCATCCATATACGCCATGGCGTAGTTGTGCCGTGCGTCCCCAAGCACAATGTCCATAACACGCTGGAATGTGGCAGAAGGGTTGCTCAAGCCGAAAGGCATGCGCACAAACTCGTACAATCCTCTGTAGCATGTGAATGCTGTTTTCTCAATGTCAACGGGTTCGACCTCTATCTGGAGGAAACCGCGACTGCAGTCAAGATTCGTGAAAAAACTGGCGTTTCCCAAGTTGCACATGATCGACTCAATCGATCATACGCGTCACGAACGGTTACCGCATTCAGGCGCCGGTAGTCGACGCAAAGCCGAGCCGTTCCATCCTGCTTGGGGGCAGGGACGATCGGGAAGGCCCAAGGGCTCTTTGACTCACGTACTGTAATGGTCGCGTAGGGCCATTATAAATGAGTGGAAAGAGACAGGAAAAGCTAGGATAAAGACAGCGCCCCGAAAGGCCTGTAGAGATGCTGAAAAGGCTTACATTGCCGGCGCGTGGGCCGCGGGGTGCCGAGGTGCAGAGCCCATGGCGGGAACCTCGACGAAAGAAAGAGACGTCACACCAGCTCGGAGTTTTTGTGAAGACTCTTCTATTTTCAATATGTACATAAATCCAGAGACAACGCGTGCCGCCGTCAAGCACGTGGCACCATCTCGTTGCAACACAAACCACGACTCCTTGCGCCATCTAGCTTTGTTGATGGCACACTACATCTTTTTCCCCCTTAGAAGAAAATGACGTTGGACAATTTGCTACCGACCCAAGAAAGAGCTTACTCTTTTTTTAACCATGTATAAATTCACACGCACACAAAATCCTACCAACCAATCACTACAAGCAAAAACAATTGTGAAGTGGTCGGAGAAAATAAGGATAAAGAAATACATTGGAAAGATACAATCATTAATGCTACACTTTGCACTATGTCGAGCAGAATTCAGTTAGACTGAAAAGGGCTCTCTTCACTGCAACCAAATCGTCACTGACGAGTCCTTTGGAACAAAGAACAACACTTTCAAAAATCTCACGGTTTGACGAGTCATTTGAAACAAAGATTAACACTTTTACTTCCACGATTGAAATGGCTGACTAGTCCTTGGAAACATAAAGAATAACATTTTCACTTCAAACACTTTGACCGAAACCTCTATGTACATAACATGGAAACTTGATACTACAAACACACGGGAGAAGTGCTAAGAAAAAATTTGTTCACATCTATATTACAAAATGCATTGCACGCTGCATGAAATTTCAAACCACTATGACTTAAGTGCCAAAGTTTTTAAGGAGCGTCCTTGGAGTAGATATCCACTTGAAAGTCACGAAATTTTGCGGGAAGTCGTCTACGCCGCTTGGGGCGTTGTGGAGTGTCCGATGGGGATAGTGCTGGGGTACGATATGTCCTCGGTGGTGTGTCTGCACCACCGTCACCTGATGTAGGAGTCGATTCTTGGGTTGCCTCGGGACTTGATTCCGGGTCTTCTGCTCAACCATGAGCCACTGAAGACTCGGAATGTGTAGAGGCCTTTGGCCCCACGGAGTGCAGGGACTTCGCTGTGACCGTTGCGGAGCTAGATGACGGCAGCTCACTGCATTATCCGAGTCCCAGCTGTGATGAACTTGATGCGGTGCTCACTATTGCACCGCTTGAAGGAACGGAAGGTTCAGGACCCTCCTGGAAAGCGACCCTGGGGGCCTCTTGGAAGACTAGCCTGGGCAGCCGGCAGAACTGGTGGCTGGCTGCTGGCTTGGACTGGTACAGCAGCGGGAAAGGCCGCTTGGAAACCGGAATCAGGAACGGCACCGGGGACTGGGGTGGCGGGAAGGCCACCGGAAACCACTGCATCTTGCACGGTACAGGGTACCACGGAACTAGTGCCGGGTACGCCAGGAACAGGGAGGGCACCGGGTACTACCGGTACATGGGCAGCACCAGGGACCACAGCTACATGGGCTGCAGGAGCCGTATGATGAGGAACGACGCCTGGCACAGCAGGATCATGGGCGGCGCCAGGGGTCGCATGACTATGGGCACCAGGCGCCACGGCAATATGGCCAGGGCCGGGTGCCGCAGTAGCATGGGCGGCCACAGGGGCCGCAGTGGCAGAGACGACCTCTTGGGCCGTCGGGACAAGACCGGCATCAGGGGCTGCAAAAACAGGACCGGCCGCAGGGGCCGCATGGACAGGAATGACGCTGGGGGCCGCAGCACGCAAAGTTGCAGGTGCCGGACCCTCAGGTGGCACATGGCCCAGGCTTATAGCTGGAGCCGCATTAGTTAACGTGGGGAATATGTCATCGTCCATAAGCCACAACGGCTGACGTCGGGGTGGTTTCAACGTTGTACGTGTCATTTTGTCTGCATCCCATATGGTTCCATCATTTAATCTATATGTGGCTGGCCCTACTTGTTCATGTATATGTTGCGGTGGAGCATATTTGTTGCTCATTTCCCCTCTAATGTTGGGTTTGAAAACCTTTACTGATTGCCCAGGAGCAAAAGCAGGGTACTTGACTGCTCGCCTGGCATCGGAATACTTCATCTTCGTTTGGTATTCCTTGACTCTATCAGGAAGCTCTTCCTGAACAACATGTGGAGGGACAGCGGACTCTGGGGTCCCTCGCCCTTGAAGATGCAGTCGCGTCCGGTGGGTGCGACCATGTAAAAGAAAAGCTGGCGTTTCTCCAGTCGTGGCATGGCGCTTACTCCGGTATACCCCGAGATATTCTGTAATGGCTTCGGAAAGCGGACGATGTTGGACGAGAGCCAACTGAATAACAGACTTGAGGACTCTATGGAGTCTCTCTACCTGCCCATAAGCTTGGGGATGGTAAAGGGATGACTTCACATGTTTGATGCCATGCGTCTTCAAGAAATCGCTGAATTCCTTCGAAATGAATTGAGAGCCGTTATCTGTCGTGATCTTCTGCGGCAGACCTTCGTGGGCAAAGATGGACTTCAAGAACTTTATGACTGTAGCAGTCGTGACGTTGTGGGCTGGTGCCACTTCCGGCCACCTACTGTGGTAATCTACCACTGTAATGAAAAACCTCTCTTGAGCCGGGGCTCGTTCAAAGGGACCTACTATATCCATGCCCAGCTTTACCCATGGACGGGTGGCGAATTCGACTGGTTGAAGAGGTGCTGGAGATGCCTTTGCAGGCTTGTCTGTCGACTGATATACCGAACAGTTCTGAACTTTCGTCCTGACATGTTGACTTAAATGTGGCCACCAGTAAAGCTCCTTGATGATACTGGTGGTGCGCGAGATACCTTGATGGGTTTCGTGAGCTACATCAATAACTTGATCACGGAGAGTGGACGGAACCACTATTTTCTCTCCTTGGAACAACAATGCATCGGTGACTGACAGCTGGTCTCTTACAACGAAATACGGCTTGAATTCTGGAGGCAACATGTCCTCTGAGGGCCATGTGCTTGAAAGATATGTCATGATAACTGGTTATACAGGATCTTTTAGAGTTTCTTAATTGAACTCCTTCTGTGTGAGACATGCACAGACAATTGAAACTACCTCTTCTTCAAAAGACATACCTTCTTCGGTGCCTGGGACCGGAAGGCGAGATAGAGCGTCGGCAACTACGTTATCGCTGCCTTTACGATACTTCATTGTGAAATTATAGCTGAAAAGTCCAGCAGTCCAACGACTGATGCGTCGTGGACGGACACCTGTCCCTTGAGTAGACATTAGTGTGACGAGAGCTTGATGATCTGTCTGGATCTTGAAATGTCGACCCCAAAGATAAACGTGTCATTTCTCGCAAGCCCAGAGGATTGCGAGAGCTTCTTTCTCTCCTGCTGAGTACTTCCGCTCTGCCTCGGAGAGAGAGCGGGAAGCAAAAGCAACAGTCTTTAGTTGCTTCCCATGCTGCTGCTGGAGAACAGCACCTAGTCCGTAATTGGACGCGTCTGTGGAGACGACAACTGGAAGATTTGGATCGAACATTGCGAGAATGGTAGCCTGCTGGAGGCAGGACTTGACACTGGAAACTGGCCTCTACGTCGGACGACCAGACAAAAGATGCTCCCTTGCGCAAAAGCCTTCGGAGGGGTTCTACAAGAGTAGCACAGTGGGGGACAAACTTACTGTAATATTCTACTAGACCTAGGAAGGCCTTCAACTGCGAAGGTTCCGATGGAACTGGAAAATTTAGGACCTCGTCTATCTACGAAGGAAGGGGTGCTAGACCCTCCGCAGACAGACGATGACCAAGGAATGGCAGTTCAGAAACATTGAAAACGGCTTTTGTATTTAGTTTCATGCCGGCCTCTCTAATACATTTGAGGACTTGTCTGAGATTACTATCATGTTCCTTCTGGAAGGAACCATAGACAATGACATCGTCCAGTTAAAACTGGACTCCTGGATAATGTTTTAATATCTTGGACATGACCTGTTGGAAGGCCGCTGGTGCAGACGCCAGACCGAAACAAACTCGTTTGAAACGAAAAAGCCCTTCATGGGTAATGAATGCTGTTAAGTCGCGACTCTTGGGGTCGAGACGGACTTGATGATAAGCAGACGCAAGGTCTAATTTAGAAAAATGGGAAGCTCCACTGAGGGAGTTCAGAAGCTCCTCAATGTGCGGAAGCGGAAAAGAATCAATAACGACTGCCTGCTTTCCGCCCGCAGATCGACACACATACGGATTCCACCGTCTTTCTTCTTAACTACTAAATGGGGGACACCCATTCCGACGCGTTTACGCGCTCGATAGCACCTTGGCGCTCGAGCTTCTGAATTTCTGCACTGACGGCATCACGCAACGTCATTGGTAAGCGGCGAAGTTTAGCCTGTACCGGCGGAACATGGTGCCGGACAGTGATTGTGTGAGTTTGGTTTTTAACTAATCCTAACTCAGGAGAAAAGAGATCCTCAAATTCTTCGAAACCAGAAGGTAACTTCGATGCATCGCTCACCGATGAAGGTTGCAAAGATGGTCCCGACGTCGACGGATCCCTTGAAGGCTGGTCTCCGAAGACGCCTCTACTTGAGTAGTACTCAGACGACGTGGATGGCTGAGTGCCGTGAACAGTGGACAATGATGAAGGGTGCTTGCAGGGAGCACTTGGAGGACGCGATGGACGACTGGGCTCCACCGTACATGGGGGCTGCGGGACTCCAGCCGACTTTACATGTCCCGGGATGGCGGAGCGAGGGTCAGCTGCATTGACATGGAAGCACTTGAGTGGCGCGCCCGATAAAATTAGACGCAGTCCATGCACGGCATCTGTCCCAAGCAGGGATCGGCCATTGCGAACGATGTAAAAAAGAATGTCGGCGGAGCGTTCTTTGAAGTTGACTTTGGTCTGGAAACATCCCATGACTGGAATCGACCCTCGGAGGTAGTGCACAAGAGTGCGCGGCGGTTTCCTTAGCCGGATTTGCTGCTTGGAATCGATCTTGTTAAACATGCTCTCGGAAAGTATTGACACTTCGGAGCCAGTATCAATGAGTAAGGGTAATGTAAATCCATTCACCTGAACATCAGCTGTGAAATTCAGTGGGCGACGGTCGACACGTCCTTCAGGGAGGACCTCCGGGGATCCGACGGTGAAGACGTTGTTTGGCTGTTGTTCCCCCTCGTCGTCGTCGTCGGGAGACGTCACGATTCCATGGATCGGCGTCTGGTTACGGCCAGGTCCAAGCCTCTCGTACCGGCGACCGGCGGCGCGGCCTCGTCCCGGCGGAAACGCCAGGCGACGGGGGTCGATGACTTCAGACGACGAAGACGAACTTCGGCAAACATTTGAAAAGTGGCCTATCTTGCCACAAGAAAAACAAGTAATTCCGGACGCTGGACACTCCTCTCGCGGATGGGGTCGGAGACCGCAAAACTGGCACGATTCCGCCCCGCGCCCAAAAGCGCGCGCGCCCGGAGGAGCATCACGAGGCAGTCGACTTGTAAAAACGCGGGTGAGTCCACGCGACTGGTGGCGCGGCGAGAAGGAAACCTTGGAAGGTGAGGAGGAAACATTTGCGGGGGAGGAGGAAACGGCAGGAGGCCGCCCTCCATTTTGACGTTGCATGTTCGAATTTGACTTCAATTGGCGGCCATCTTGTCCACGCCGAACGGGAACCCTTTGTACTGCCTCAACGGCCTGTGTCGACTCGGAACGCGGAAGACATGATGCAATTTGGCGGTAACGATCGCAATCTCGAGCAGCTGGTTCGAACTGTTGTGCCAGAAGCACGATACGTTCGAGGCTGGGTAGTCCAGCTTCCGCAGACTCTCGGATTACCCGATTGTGTACCTCCGATGATAATAACCCGGCCAAAAAAACTTCCGCGATGCGGTTTCAAGAGACTCCCCAAAATCACAAAAAGAGCCGAGGTGCCGTAGGGCACCAAGGTACTCAAGGACACTTTCTCCCTGCGACTGGACGCGGGTGAGGAACAACCTCCGTTCGACAACAGCATTGTTTTTGGCAGCGAAGTGCTGATCAAGCGCCGTCATAAGAACGTCAAATTCGGAGACGGTCTCGCTATGGGCGAGGGCCGTGGATGGGAACGTTGAAACTATTCTTTGGCCTTCGAGACCAAGCAAAGACCACAACAACGCGCGCTTACGCTTCGGCGAGCTTTCATCAGCCTCTAGGACCACAATATAATTTAAAAACGACGTTTTCCAATTTAACCAAGGCTGCACAGGGGCACCTGGCGTGGGAAGAAATGGTGGAGGCGTCGGGAAAGAAGCCGTTGCCATTTTTGGAACTTATGAATGCTCTAAGAAAAGCCAATGGCTAGATACGCATATTTGATGGACAAAAATACCTTTCAAAATTACTTAGGATATACATGGACATGGAACATAGCGACGCTATGGTCTACTATGGCTATGGTTGGGAGATAAAGTTGAAAACGAAGGTACCGATTCGAACGGCCGTTACGGCGTTCGCAAAAAAAAAGGGAACAAAGGATGGCGTTACGCCTAACCCTACTGGCGTTCAAAATGGACCATTGACGGGGTCCCTATCATTTCGTCGAAACTCGTTTCGTGGAATTACGTTTCGTGGACAACTTTTCATGGACACACGTTTCATGGACACACGTTTGGTTGACAGTGTGACGTTTCATCGACAATCGTTTCGTCGACAGCACCATCGTAAAACGTTTCGTCGACAAACTTTTTTTTTGCGGCTCCGAAAGGAATGCAGGAAACTTAAGGTACATGTAAAATAATTTAATTATGACTTTCTTCTTGAGTGAGAGCGATGAAAAGGACATCCTGGATCGCGAAAGGAACGGGGTAGCAGAACAAAGAGAACGAATACCGAACGACGCAATACATACCGAACGCCTCAACGGATCAGAACGTTTCTCAAAAATGTAAATATTGTACATAAACCATTTTATTCCTTCTCTTAACGTTATTTAACAGTACATGCGCTTGTAACAGATGAAAAAGACGATGCCTAGCGCAGTTACTCTCCAAGGTGAGCAACTGCGCTATTCTCTCGCTCTCATCCGTGTCAGGTGGAAAAGCAAAAGTGCGCAGGACTCCGCACGCGGCCTATTCGGATATTTGCAAGTTCCGATGCCCGTTTATAGATCCGAAAGTTACTGGAAGAGGAAAAGCGGTGGAGAAAAATATGCGTAGGCACAAAGCAAAACTTCGATCCAATGGTGGGTTGCGGAAAAGGGCGTAAACACTGTTTTTTTTTTCTTCTTCATATTGGTTATTTTTAAACAAAAATACAGCTTGCAGCCTTTTATTGCAACATTACAACCCCAATACTTCAATTGAAATTAAGCATGTTCATTACCCTCAATTATTCAAAAGGAAAAGTGATGCAGTGTTTTACTGGCTACTGCGGCTTATACGCAAAAAAACTGTTTAGTCACACTAGTTTCATCGTCATGTATCCTTAAGGGCCGATTAATAAGGACATTACACAATGAGGGGGCTGTAACCAATGTTAAATAAAAATAAATAACAAAAACACGAAAACTAATAACACTCGCACTACCGGGAGCGTGCTGCCCGCGAGTAAACCTAAAAAAAAATAATAATAAACAAATAAACACGATAGTTTGTTACAGATAAATAAAACAGTACACCACGTTCAGTCGTATTACACAAAGTAAGCCATAGTTGATATCAAATGTGCAACTTAATGCATTATATAGCTTCTCTCGAGCAGCCGCCACATGCAAGGCCTTGGAGGCGGTAGTACCACTAGATGATATCTGTCGGCAGTAGCCGACTGATCCTCACACGCGACATTAAATTGTTCTTTTATCGATGCCAGCAGACAGATACCTGGGGCAAGTTCGTAGCTCTTTCCATAAAAGAGCGGCTTCCAAATCTAATGTTCTTTGGTCACATATTGGCTTATCTGCATGCAAAATTTCAGTACAGGCGTAACATATGCAGAACTATAGTGTTATTCATTATCCAGAAGCTAAATATGCTAAAGACTAAAAATCGTATGCGGTCTGGTAAGTACAGTACGTTGAATACCCAGTGTTTGGAGGAGAAAACAACCGTGTTTTATCACCGTAAAAGTAAACCACGCGTAGTGAGAAACGGTCTCCTTCAAAGTTTATTGCTAGCGGCTAAGACCAGATGCCAATTAGCTTGAAAACCGATCTTATACCATTTTCAACGGTAGGAAGGCTGTGTGCACCGCAAACAGGCCTCGTTTATTCTTTCAAATTTTCTTTAAGAGCTTTAGTGTTTTGACGTGTGGACTATCTATGCTATGTTCAGATGGCTCTTGAGGATTCTGCCAAAAGACGCGACGCGCGGAAAGATACGCTTGCTCTGGAATTGACCCAGCCACTTTTTCGCAACAGTCGGAGTGCTTCGGCCAGCCCGCGAAGGGTTGCATTCGATGACGTACGGACACCTCGATCACGTATGCTGCCGAAAGCGTAGCCCTCAAGAGCAGCGCATATTGTTGAATGTTTTAAAAATCTAATTTGAGAAAGGACACTGGTCGATAACAAAACTTCCCGGCTTTGACAACGCTTCCCCAAAGGTTCGGGCACAGACACGAGCGAAACCATTCAAATCGTAAGTTCCGAAATCAGTGCAATCGGCGAGCTACCCCCCCCCCCCCCCAAAAAAAAAAAAAAAAAAAAATAAGCAAAAAAAAAATTTCGATAGTTTAAACTGGTGAGGCAAGATGGCTGCGCACTGGTTCGCCATACTTGGCCCAGTCGGCCATCTTTCATCCATCCATCCATCCAACACAAGGCCGCGCAAGGAGGCGCAGCTGGCGGAGCTTGCAGAGCGAGCTGTCGACGAAACGTCGTAAGATCTGTCGATGAAACGAGCGGGTGCTCGTTTCCACGAAACGATCTGTCGATGAAACATCGCAGTGTCGACGAAACGATTTGTCCATGAAACGTCGTTCGACGAACTGATTGCCACCGCCATTGACGCTCGAAACGGAACGTTAAATGTCGCTATGCATCGACAGTATTTTCATGTACTACATATGCAAAAGATGTGGTGGATGGGAATATTCAAAAGGACCTCCTTACATTTCGACCGTTAAAATATTACCTTACACAAAAGAAAACTATACAGGCCGGTGCTGCCACCACTCATCTCCGGCACGGAGTCTCACAAAAAAACTCACGAGGGCGAAAATGGAAAAAATGGAAGCAAAAACCTCGTCGCCAAAATGTAATGGTCGCGTAGGGCCATTATAAATGAGTGGAAAGAGACAGGAAAAGCATGGATAAAGACAGCGCCCCGAAAGGCCTGTAGAGATGCTGAAAAGGCTTACATTGCCGGCGCGTGGGCCGCGGGGTGCCGAGGTGCGGGACCCAAGGCGGGAACCCCGACGAAAGAAAGAGACGTCACACCAGCTCGGATTTTTTGTGAAGACTGTTCTATTTTCAATGGGCGCGTTAAGTTAACGCGCTCGAGCGCGCTCCAGCGGTCAGAGTACACTCGAGCTAAACTAAACGACATCGTCTCACTTCCGGTGCACGGTGGCGGAGCGCGCTCCGCGAGCTCCGTCGTCGGAGATGGTGCGCGGGAGCGCGAACAGGTCGGTTTCCGGTGAGATGACGGCGTTTCCGCTCTCGCGGCCAGTCTCGCGGTTACTCGCGGTGATTTTGCACGGTGGTCGTGGTTTCACCGGTTTCACACGGTGGTGCGGTGGTCTCGCACGAGACGGAAGAATCATCAAAACCCTCGCGTTTTGGGCTCCGGACACTCCGGACCGGGCCGCCGGGCCACTCTGGACCAGAGGCGTCGGGTGTGCGCAATCCGTGGCGAGCGAGTTCGCTTCCGAACGCTCCGATGATGCCACCGCGCTCGCCTCGCCGTGGCCTCGCCAAACTTCGCCGACCGCGACCGCACCAACCGAACCCCGCGGCCAAAAGGCTCCGGCCTAGCCAGGAACGGCACTGAGGTAGGCCGGTCGTGGGTAGGAGCTGCTCGTTCTGCGCTACGATGCAGTGCTCGGAGCTCTCGGCGTCGTTCGTACTTGCGCCGAAGTCTTTAGGGACTCCGTCGGACGCGCAAGTCGCGCAAGTCGCGCCTGCTTGGATGCGTGGATACTTCGACGGCGATCGCTTGGCAGCTCGTGTAGTCGTTCCGTCATCGTGGAAAATAAAAAAAAAAGCATGGTGCTGGTGTAGAAAGGTATGCATACATCCTTCAAATGCTTGTCGAAGTTCTTCATGTCATTCTTTAAGGCTTTTCGTAATTCAGAAGGCGTTCGGCGTACCTTTAATCGCCGCACCAACATCGTGCAGCATAAATACAAGCTCTCGCTGTTGCCGCCGTCTCCGCGCACTTATTTCATCGAAGTCGTCGTCGACCAAACACTTTTTCGATGTTTCGACGGGACGGGAGCAACGAGCTTGAGTCTTACCTTAGAGCGGTAAACCGGAATCCACTGCCTGCAGCGGAAATGGCACCCCCCCGGTTGCCGCCATCTTGCCTGTTTGCCACATTAGTGATCACGTGACGTTAAGATGGCTGCGCCCAACAGTGGGGCAGATCGGGCAGATCAGATTGGCGAGATCGTGGTCAGCAGATGGGCACTCTGGGGCTGCGTTCGAATCTTACTCGAATGGCGCCGAGTTAATCCGGCGGATCAAGTCACGTGACAAGACAGATGCAGCAACGCTGGACGCGGGTAGGTTTTCGAACGCAACGGGTGCGAGAACTTTACCCAGGAGTGAGAGAAACTGCGTTCGATTTACTTGCAGCTCCGGCACCGGTGCAGAAAAGTGTGGGGCGGTGTACTTCCGGTCGTATCTCAATACATATACCGGAAGTAGACTGCCCTACACTTTTCTGCACCGGCGCAGGAGGTGCAAGTAAATCGAACGCAGCTTTTATCTCACTCCTGGGTGAAGTTCTTGTACCCGTTGCGTTCGAAAACCTACCCGCGTCCAGCGTTGCTGCATCTGTCTCGTCACGTGACTTGATCCGCCGGAATAGCTCGGCGCCATTCGAGTAAGATTCGAACACAGCCTCAGAGTGCCCATCTGCTGACCACGATCTCGCCAATCTGATCTGCCCGATCTGCCCCACTGTTGGGCGCAGCCATCTTAACGTCACGTGATCACTAATGTGGCAAACAGGCAAGATGGCGGCAACCGGGGGGGTGCCATTTTTGACCGCTGGTTTACCGCTCTAAGTTTACTCAAGCTCGTTGGACGGGAGCCATGTTCAAGCGCGCGCCGGAAAGCCGGAACCGGAAACGTTAAAAAAGCAGGCGTCAGATGGCGCCTCGGTACCAAAGTGCGCCGTTAAGCTACGCTACGA